GACATTCGCCATATAGAAAATAGTAATTGTGTGAACAATTACAGATTTTAGCCAAAGGTTTAGCATATTGCAACACATTCTCACCCCAAAGCGTCACCTTTGACCATGCTTCAATATTTGACGTTTTAGGCGCCCTTTAAAGCATCAGTTAAAGCAAAGCGTCAGTTAGAGGACGCGGTTAGGTTTAGGTCTGGGGTGGGGGTAGGGTACACGCGATCCTAGGGCGTCATCTAACTCAGGGGTTCCCAACTTTTCCATGACAAGGCCCCCCAAATACCACTAGGTTCTGGCCAAGGCCCCCCTTTTCCATGATATGTTATTGAACCCATCGACAATACTACGGCAAATGTAGAAATAAATAAATAAAACATCTAGGACTAGGTGAACATCCATTAACCTTTATTGGTGTTGAAATAATAACATTTGTATGTCAAATATTCACATATCTTCATATCTTGTACAGTAATTTCAACATTCAATATTGTATCTGTGTGTCAGTGAATGGAAAAAGAGAGAGATCTTAACAAGATGGTGTGTGTGTGTGTGTGTGTGTTTACAGGGGTTTCATGTCAGATACCTGTGTGTGTGTTTACAGGGGCTTCACGTCAGATACCTGTGTGTGTGTTTACAGGGGTTTCACGTCAGATACCTGTGTGTGTGTGTGTGTTTACAGGGGTCTCACGTCAGATACCTGTGTGTGTGTTTACAGGGGTTTCACGTCAGATACCTGTGTGTGTGTTTACAGGGGTTTCATGTCAGATACCTGTGTGTGTGTTTACAGGGGTTTCATGTCAGATACCTGTGTGTGTGTTTACAGGGGCTTCACGTCAGATACCTGTGTGTGTGTTTACAGGGGTTTCACGTCAGATACCTGTGTGTGTGTGTGTGTTTACAGGGGTCTCACGTCAGATACCTGTGTGTGTGTTTACAGGGGTTTCATGTCAGATACCTGTGTGTGTGTTTACAGGGGTCTCACGTCAGATACCTGTGTGTGTGTGTGTGTGTGTGTGTTTACAGGGGTCTCATGTCAGATACCTGTGTGTGTGTGTGTGTGTGTGTGTGTTTACAGGGGTCTCATGTCAGATACCTGTGTGTGTGTTTACAGGGGCTTCACGTCAGATACGTGTGTGTGTTTACAGGGGTTTCACGTCAGATACCTGTGTGTGTGTGTGTGTGTTTACAGGGTCTCATGTCAGATACCTGTGTGTGTGTTTACAGGGGTTTCACGTCAGATACCTGTGTGTGTGTGTGTGTTTACAGGGGTTTCACGTCAGATACCTGTGTGTGTGTGTGTGTTTACAGGGGTCTCACGTCAGATACCTGTGTGTGTGTTTTACAGGGGTTTCATGTCAGACACCTGTGTGTGTGTTTACAGGGGTCTCACGTCAGATACCTGTGTGTGTGTTTACAGGGGTTTCACGTCAGATACCTGTGTGTGTGTTTACAGGGGTTTCATGTCAGATACCTGTGTGTGTGTGTGTGTTTACAGGGGTTTCACGTCAGATGCCTGTGTGTGTGTGTGTTTACAGGGGTTTCACGTCAGATACCTGTGTGTGTGTGTGTGTGTGTGTTTACAGGGGTTTCATGTCAGATACCTGTGTGTGTGTGTTTACAGGGGTCTCACGTCAGATACCTGTGTGTGTGTTTACAGGGGTTTCACGTCAGATACCTGTGTGTGTGTGTGTTTACAGGGGTTTCACGTCAGATACCTGTGTGTGTGTGTTTACAGGGGTTTCACGTCAGATACCTGTGTGTGTGTTTACAGGGGCTTCACGTCAGATACCTGTGTGTGTGTGTTTACAGGGGTTTCACGTCAGATACCTGTGTGTGTGTTTACAGGGGTTTCACGTCAGATACCTGTGTGTGTGTGTGTGTTTACAGGGGCTTCATGTCAGATACCTGTGTGTGTGTGTGTGTGTTTACAGGGGTTTCACGTCAGATGCCTGTGTGTGTGTGTGTTTACAGGGGTTTCACGTCAGATACCTGTGTGTGTGTGTGTGTGTGTATTTGTTTACAGGGGCTTCACTTCAGATACCTGTGTGTGTGTGTGTTTACAGGGGTTTCACGTCAGATACCTGTGTGTGTGTTTACAGGGGCTTCACGTCAGATACGTGTGTGTGTGTTTACAGGGGCTTCACGTCAGATACGTGTGTGTGTGTTTACAGGGGTTTCATGTCAGATACCTGTGTGTGTGTTTACAGGGGTTTCACGTCAGATACCTGTGTGTGTGTTTACAGGGGCTTCATGTCAGATACCTGTGTGTGTGTTTACAGGGGTTTCATGTCAGATACCTGTGTGTGTGTTTACAGGGGTTTCACGTCAGATACCTGTGTGTGTGTTTACAGGGGTTTCATGTCAGATACTGTGTGTGTGTGTGTGTGTTTTACAGGGCTTCATGTCAGATACCTGTGTGTGTGTGTGTGTGTTTACAGGGGTTTCACGTCAGATGCCTGTGTGTGTGTGTGTTTACAGGGGTTTCACGTCAGATACCTGTGTGTGTGTGTGTGTGTGTGTTTGTTTACAGGGGCTTCACTTCAGATACGTGTGTGTGTGTTTACAGGGGCTTCACGTCAGATACGTGTGTGTGTGTTTACAGGGGCTTCACGTCAGATACGTGTGTGTGTGTTTACAGGGGCTTCATGTCAGATACCTGTGTGTGTGTTTACAGGGGTTTCATGTCAGATACCTGTGTGTGTGTTTACAGGGGTTTCATGTCAGATACCTGTGTGTGTGTGTGTGTTTACAGGGGCTTCATGTCAGATACCTGTGTGTGTGTGTGTGTGTTTACAGGGGTTTCACGTCAGATGCCTGTGTGTGTGTGTGTTTACAGGGGTTTCACGTCAGATACCTGTGTGTGTGTTTACAGGGGTTTCATGTCAGATACCTGTGTGTGTGTTTACAGGGGTTTCATGTCAGATACCTGTGTGTGTGTGTGTGTTTACAGGGGCTTCATGTCAGATACCTGTGTGTGTGTGTGTGTGTTTACAGGGGTTTCACGTCAGATGCCTGTGTGTGTGTGTGTTTACAGGGGTTTCACGTCAGATACCTGTGTGTGTGTGTGTGTGTGTATTTGTTTACAGGGGCTTCACTTCAGATACCTGTGTGTGTGTTTACAGGGGCTTCACGTCAGATACGTGTGTGTGTGTTTACAGGGGCTTTCACGTCAGATACCTGTGTGTGTGTTTACAGGGGCTTCACGTCAGATACGTGTGTGTGTGTTTACAGGGGCTTCACGTCAGATACCTGTGTGTGTGTTTACAGGGGTTTCATGTCAGATACCTGTGTGTGTGTTTACAGGGGTTTCACGTCAGATACCTGTGTGTGTGTGTTTACAGGGGTTTCACGTCAGATACCTGTGTGTGTGTTTTACAGGGGTTTCATGTCAGATACCTGTGTGTGTGTGTGTGTTTACAGGGGTCTCACGTCAGATACCTGTGTGTGTGTTTACAGGGGTTTCACGTCAGATACCTGTGTGTGTGTTTACAGGGGTTTCACGTCAGATACCTGTGTGTGTGTGTGTGTTTACAGGGGCTTCACTTCAGATACCTGTGTTGTGTGTGTGTGTTTACAGGGGTTTCACGTCAGATACCTGTGTGTGTGTGTGTGTGTATTTGTTTACAGGGGTTCACTTCAGATACCTGTGTGTGTGTGTGTGTGTTTACAGGGGTTTCACGTCAGATACCTGTGTGTGTGTTTACAGGGGCTTCACGTCAGATACGTGTGTGTGTGTTTACAGGGGCTTCACGTCAGATACGTGTGTGTGTGTTTACAGGGGTTCATGTCAGATACCTGTGTGTGTGGTTTACAGGGGTTTCACGTCAGATACCTGTGTGTGTGTTTACAGGGGCTTCACGTCAGATACCTGTGTGTGTGTGTGTGTTTACAGGGGTTTCACGTCAGATACCTGTGTGTGTGTGTGTGTTTACAGGGGTCTCACGTCAGATACCTGTGTGTGTGTTTACAGGGGTTTCACGTCAGATACCTGTGTGTGTGTTTACAGGGGTTTCATGTCAGATACCTGTGTGTGTGTGTGTTTACAGGGGTCTCACGTCAGATACCTGTGTGTGTGTTTACAGGGTTTCATGTCAGACACCTGTGTGTGTGTTTACAGGGTCTCACGTCAGATACCTGTGTGTGTGTTTACAGGGTTTCATGTCAGATACCTGTGTGTGTGTGTTGTGTGTGTGTGTTTTACAGGGGTCTCATGTCAGATACCTGTGTGTGTGTTTACAGGGGTTTCATGTCAGATACCTGTGTGTGTGTTTACAGGGGTTTCACGTAGGGCTGTAACGTCCTAGTCGATTAGTCGATTAATTGGTCGATACGTTCTTGTTCGACCAAAATTCTGATTGGTCGATTTTTTGCCGCGTTCATTTCATCAGTTTTGCCGCGCCTCATCAGGTGGAAACCACTAATTGCTAATGGGGGTGTTTTTAGAGCACCTGTGTTTCACAGATAACAGTCTGTCTTAAGAACACCCCCTCGTTTTTACTTTTTTTGGATTAGCCCAACCCACTTGAGAAGAGTGACATACGTATATAGAAGGTTAATGCTGAATAGGACTATTATTTATCTATAATTAACGGTTAAAGTGTTTATTAGTCCATCTTCTAACATGTCAAAGACATCGACGGTGTGGCAGCATTTTATTCAAATTGACAACAGGAAAAAGGTTGAATGCAAAATGTGCAACCAACAGTTTGCCTACCACAGTTCGACGACAAACATGATGTACCATCTTAAAACGGTAAGCTAACTTGTCTACGTTAGATTGCCCTGTCTGTATTTTGAGTAGGCTATATGAACATATCAGAATTGGCATATTTCAATGTTTTAGTGTAATAATCGTTATCGTTTTATAAATGCAGGCGCATCCATCCATAATAACGGCATCCCCCAGGCCCAGACACACCCAGAGCACGCTGGATTTTAAGCCTCCTTTATCTTCCAAACGGAAAAATAACATAACGGAAGGAATTGTGAACTTTATTGCTCAGGACATGAGGCCCATTGCTGTTGTGGAGGGCCAAGGTTTTAAGAACTTGCTAAAAGTTTTGGAACCTGGTTATACAGTGCCAGCACGCCACACAATCACTAATGCGCTAACCGCAAAATATGAGGGACTCAAAGACAAAGTGTCTGCGTTAATACAACAGAGCGAGGCACTGAGTTTGACCACAGATATGTGGACATCTCTGAGAATGGAGTCCTATATGACAGTGACTGCCCATTTCATTGATGGAGACTGGAAAGCACAGAGTCTTGTGCTTGAGACAAAACAAATGGAAGAGGCGCACACGGGAATAAACATTGCTGCACGACTATCTGAAGTTGCGGATACCTTCGGAATTCAAGGAAAGATAGTTTCTGTTGTATGTGACAACGCGGCTAATATGACACTCTGTGTGGAAACACTAAAGGAATCACATAAATGGGCAGAGATGCAGGGCGTCAGGTGCGCCGGGCACACTTTGCAGCTCTGTATTAACGCTGCACTCAAACAAGATCCAATTTGTCGTGCCGTGGCTGCATCACGTCATCTGGTGGGACATTTCAAAAAGGGGCACAAAGCAAAAACTGGACTAAAACAGAAGCAGGAGCAGCAAAACGTCCCTCAGCATGAATTAATTCAGGATGTGTCGACACGTTGGAACTCAACATTTTCAATGTTGGAGCGACTGCTGGAGCAACGCTGGCCTATTACCGCAGTGCTGTCTGACCCAAACTTTACAAAGAAGAGCGACAGCAGTACACTGGACCTTACCACTGCACACTGGAATGCGATAGAGGACATTAAAAATGTGCTGAAACCGATGACAACCTTGACCGAGCTGCTGTCTGAAGAGGACAACGCATCCCTGTCTGCAACAGTACCCATGCTAGCAAACTTGAAGAAACGTCACCTGGCCATCGCGGATGATGACAGCCCCATTACCAAAAAAATGAAAAGCAAGCTGGTCGAAGAAATTGACGGTAGATGGGAGTTTAAAAACCGAATGATGATGACTAACAGTGTATACATTACAGCTGCAGTAGTAGACCCTCGTTTTAAGCAGCTGTCTTTTCTGGATGATGCCAAACGAGACGAGGCCTATATAGTAGTTGCACAGCTGGCAGAACGTCTGAATGCAGTCACAGGCACAGGTGAACCTGGAAGTGAGGAGGAGCAACATGTGTCAAAAAAGCAGAAAAACGACAAAGAGAAGGAGATTGCTATGCTGTTGTGCGAAGACGAAGACGATCTGATTTCTAGAGAATCCGGTGGGAGAAGCAGAGTGACAGAAGAAATGAAAAACTATCTTCAGGACAGAACCAAAATCGACTCCGGACCATTGGGTTGGTGGAAAAAAAACCAAGACAGATACCCGAGCCTAGCCCGAGTTGCAAAGCGACTGCTCTGTATACCTGCAACTTCCACGCCGTCTGAACGCATTTTCTCCAAGGCTGGATTTATTGTCAATAAAGCAAGAAGTTGTCTCCTTCCAAAGAACGTGGATATGCTTGTGTTTCTCGCACACAACACAAAAAAGTGTGGAATGGACATTGATTGTACTGTAAGTGAGTAGCCATTTGTTGTATTTTTGGATTTGGGCACCTTTTATTTTTTGTAGCCTAACGAGCTATTTTGCTGTGCCCATTTTATTTAATTTAATTTTTTAGTTTTGCGCCTATATTTTTCAGTTAGGCACTTTATTTCGTTTTGGACATTATTAATAACATTTTATAATTTTGCACATTTATTTAAAGTATTTATTATTGGATGTGGGCACTTTATTTATTTTGTAGCCTAACACGAAATTGCGCTGTGCCTAATGTTTGTTTTGAGCCTGTGCTTTATTTTTCAGTTATGCACTTTATTTCGTTTTGGACATTAATAACATTTTATAATTTTGCACATTTATTTGAAATACTTGTGGATTTGGGCATTTGATTTATTCATTTTTGTATTTGTTCTTCTGAGTGCACTTGTTGTTGCCCTTTATTCTGTTTCGTTTAAAATTTGGCTAAATAACTTGTAGTAGCCTAATTTACTTTTATGGTTCCATTTTATTATTATGCAAAGTGCACATTTATTATTTCTATTATTATTTGGGCACTTTATTATTTTTTTATTTTTTATTTGGAGCCTAATGCGAAATTGCGCTGTGCCCACTGTTTGTGTTAGTTTTGAGCCTAAGATGTTTTATTTTTCAGTTATGCACTTTATTTCGTTTCTGCTCTTGATCTGGTTTGTTTAATAAATATTTTTTTTATTAAAGTAGATGTGCCTTTTGTGTTTTTTAAGAGCACAAACTTTAAGTTAATAATAGTCTATTCATGTCTGCCGCTGCGAAGCTGAGCGATCAGCTGTGCTCTGCTGAAATGATCATAGTGTCTAATAAACTTATTATTATAACATAAGAGCGGAAAAATAATTGTCTAAATGATGTTGCATATTCCTCAACAGTTCTTGTGATGATATCACTAGTTGACAAGCAACATAGCACTATTTTCGTAAATCATAGGCTATGATATTGCGCAGGTGCACGTGATGCAATGCTGTCAGAGGCAGAGCCGACAGACTCGTGTATCAGACTAATTTAGTGTAAAATAATTAGGTAGAAAATAATTTAATAAACTGCAAATAGCCTACTATTTTTAATGTATATTTACAATTCATTAAGGCGGACAATAGGCAACCAAGTACTGCGCAGTGCGCACAGCTTACTTAAAAAAAAAAAAACGTCATTTTTAGTCGATTTTTAGTCGAAATTTCAGGACTTTAGTCGACCAAGATTTTCTTTGGTTGATTACAGCCCTAGTTTCACGTCAGATACCTGTGTGTGTGTGTGTTTACAGGGGTTTCACGTCAGATACCTGTGTGTGTGTGTGTGTTTACAGGGGCTTCATGTCAGATACCTGTGTGTGTGTGTGTGTGTTTACAGGGGCTTCATGTCAGATACCTGTGTGTGTGTGTGTGTGTTTACAGGGGCTTCATGTCAGATACCTGTGTGTGTGTGTGTGTTTACAGGGGCTTCATGTCAGATACCTGTGTGTGTGTGTGTGTGTTTACAGGGGCTTCATGTCAGATACCTGTGTGTGTGTGTGTGTTTACAGGGGTTTCACGTCAGATGCCTGTGTGTGTGTGTGTTTACAGGGGTTTCACGTCAGATACCTGTGTGTGTGTGTGTGTGTATTTGTTTACAGGGGCTTCACTTCAGATACCTGTGTGTGTGTGTGTTTACAGGGGTTTCACGTCAGATACCTGTGTGTGTGTTTACAGGGGCTTCACGTCAGATACGTGTGTGTGTGTTTACAGGGGCTTCACGTCAGATACGTGTGTGTGTGTTTACATGGGCTTCATGTCAGATACCTGTGTGTGTGTTTACAGGGGCTTCATGTCAGATACCTGTGTGTGTGTTTACAGGGGTTTCATGTCAGATACCTGTGTGTGTGTTTACAGGGGTCTCACGTCAGATACCTGTGTGTGTGTTTACAGGGTTTCATGTCAGATACCTGTGTGTGTGTTTACAGGGGTTTCACGTCAGATACCTGTGTGTGTGTTTACAGGGGTCTCACGTCAGATACCTGTGTGTGTGTTTACAGGGGTCTCACGTCAGATACCTGTGTGTGTGTGTTTACAGGGGTTTCATGTCAGATACCTGTGTGTGTGTTTACAGGGGTTTCACGTCAGATACCTGTGTGTGTGTTTACAGGGGTCTCACGTCAGATACCTGTGTGTGTGTTTACAGGGGTTTCATGTCAGATACCTGTGTGTGTGTTTACAGGGGTTCACGTCAGATACCTGTGTGTGTGTTTACAGGGGTGTCACGTCAGATACCTGTGTGTGTGTGTGTGTTTACAGGGGTTTCATGTCAGATACCTGTGTGTGTGTGTGTGTTTACAGGGGTTTCATGTCAGATACCTGTGTGTGTGTGTGTGTGTTTACAGGGGTTTCATGTCAGATACCTGTGTGTGTGTGTGTGTTTACAGGGGTTTCACGTCAGATACCTGTGTGTGTGTGTGTGTTTACAGGGGTTTCATGTCAGATACCTGTGTGTGTGTTTACAGGGGTCTCACGTCAGATACCTGTGTGTGTGTTTACAGGGGTGTCACGTCAGATACCTGTGTGTGTGTGTTTACAGGGGTGTCACGTCAGATACCTGTGTGTGTGTTTACAGGGGTTTCATGTCAGATACCTGTGTGTGTGTTTACAGGGGTCTCACGTCAGATACCTGTGTGTGTGTTTACAGGGGTTTCATGTCAGATACCTGTGTGTGTGTTTACAGGGGTTTCACGTCAGATACCTGTGTGTGTGTTTACAGGGGTCTCACGTCAGATACCTGTGTGTGTGTTTACAGGGGTGTCACGTCAGATACCTGTGTGTGTGTTTACAGGGGTGTCACGTCAGATACCTGTGTGTGTGTGTGTGTTTACAGGGGTTTCATGTCAGATACCTGTGTGTGTGTGTGTGTTTACAGGGGTTTCATGTCAGATACCTGTGTGTGTGTGTGTGTGTTTACAGGGGTTTCATGTCAGATACCTGTGTGTGTGTGTGTGTGTTTACAGGGGTTTCACGTCAGATACCTGTGTGTGTGTGTGTGTTTACAGGGGTTTCATGTCAGATACCTGTGTGTGTGTTTACAGGGGTTTCACGTCAGATACCTGTGTGTGTGTGTGTGTGTGTTTACAGGGGTTTCACGTCAGATACCTGTGTGTGTGTTTACAGGGGTTTCACGTCAGATACCTGTGTGTGTGTTTACAGGGGTTTCATGTCAGATACCTGTGTGTGTGTTTACAGGGGTGTCACGTCAGATACCTGTGTGTGTGTTTACAGGGGTGTCACGTCAGATACCTGTGTGTGTGTGTGTGTGTTTACAGGGGTTTCATGTCAGATACCTGTGTGTGTGTTTACAGGGGTTTCACGTCAGATACCTGTGTGTGTGTGTGTGTGTGTTTACAGGGGTTTCACGTCAGATACCTGTGTGTGTGTTTACAGGGGTTTCACGTCAGATACCTG